CGCTTTGAAAATGGTCCGGGATCAAGATGTTGCGACTAGGAAGACATCAAAATTACTGCAAAGGATGTTTCAGCATTTTTTTCAGTGTTGGTGTCGCCAATACTTGCACCAACAGCGCAATAGATGGCAAGCAGACACATCTGTTAATTAAAAAACGGACACCATGGTGGTGATCAAAGAGGACCATCTTCTATCTAGACTGATGGAATCATCCGGCTTTGTATCTTGCCCATCGGAGGCGAGAAGGACAACGATTCCCGAAGAACAAAGAGAATTCATAATCATTGTATTGTATTCGTGTGTTGTATCATTGTATCATAATTTGTATCAGTGTATCAATATTTTAATAATTATTTGTAAGAGTATAAGATTTAATAGATAAGATGTACAAATCTAGATGTTATGTAGAGTGGATGTGTGATATTTATAGTTAACACTTTATCGACCGGTAGCGGTTGAACATCCTATATACTTTTTACCGTTTATTCGGTCGCAAATACATTTTGACATCGGCTCTGTTTAGGCTTACAATTAGACAGTTACGCGGGAATGTATGAGCTATTTCTTATGCCTATAGAAATGTTGAACCAAACATTGTGAACGTGCTTACTATATTGTTCACTTTCTATTATTATAGGATGATTGAATACAATTTTTAAAAATAACACTTTTTATTTTTATGACATTAGTATTAAACATGAATGATTTTCAACAAATAAATAATAGTTTAATACTTTTTTAAAATGTGATATTGCTCAAAACAGTCACCTGTAATGAAATATTGCAAAACTTACAGATAGAACATGTTCTACTTCTTTTTCTTTTTAGATGCATAAACTATTAAGTTGGGAAGAAAGTTCTTGCGGTTTTTAACTATTAAATTCAAATTAAAGACCATTGGAATCAATGCACTTTTGCCAAAGAGAAACTTGAAATTTTAATCGAAAATAAAGCATTTACAATCAAAATAACAAAAACCGTATGAACTTTCTTTCCAATCTAATACATACTCTGTATTGGCATCTGCACATGTCTCCATTCTACATGTATTCTTATTCCTCACTTGATGAGTTTATTTGGATTATATGTTAGGAAAATTGTTTTGCCTTTGAATCCTAACATTGACTCATCAACCGAAATTTCTCTTGACGGAACGAAATAGTTTTTGAATTTTTTATCTAAAAATTCTAAATAATGGCTAAAGACTTTCTGTATTCAGGCTAAAAGACTTTGGTCATTTGGATTTGTTTCATGAAAGTAAAGCATCCAAAATATTCGCATAAATCGTTCTCTTCTAAATATACTACCAAAGAAAAGAATTTTCGCATTGAAGTTTTGGGGCTAATATTCTTGCAGATTACTAACAGTAAATGTGTCCATATTTAGGACAATTCCAAGAAATGCCATAAATCCACGGTAACATCAACCCACCTATGCCATGTAGACCGTTTGGATAATCTTTTTTGTGCAATTTTATTTCGAGCATAATTATTTGTCTCTTCCACTATTTTTTCTAATAGTTCATTTAGAAAAGAAAAGTTTAAAAAAATCTATAGGTTTTGTGCAGTTATCAGGAATTTTTGTGGCCCTTCAGTTTTGTCACCGTAAGTAAAATCTATCCTGTATGGCACATTATCCTGAATAGTGCGTCCTTCCATGGCCTATAATTGTCTCTTCTTTCAGTCATATTCTCATCTTCACTGCTGCTTGAACTCGTTGGTAAAGATAGTGTTCTTCTTTTATTGACTACGATATCGCTATCAGTGCTAATATCATTTTCCTTTTCTTCTTCGTAACTGTCTCTGTCACTATTTCCACAGCAATCTAATTCTTCATTGTCATATGGGTCCAAATAAAATTTATCATCACTACTTTTCAATTCATTTATAATTTCTCCTTGTAAATGTTTGGGCATTTTCAATATAGCAAAAAATTTTAAATCATAACACAGATTACACATACACTGGAGTATATACTACGTGGCGTTTACAAAACTGAATGAAATTGTGAAAATATGTAAAATAAAAAAATATATAGATATATCCTATATATTTATGTATATAGATATATCCTCAAAAATATATAGATATATCCTATAGATATAGATATAGATATAGATATAGATATAGATATATCCTAAAAATATATAGATATATCCTAAAAAATATATAGATATATCCTATATATCTATATATATAATATATCCTAAAGAATATATAGATATATCCTATATATCAGGGGTTCTCAAACTGGGTGCCGCGGCAATAATATATAATTTTCACTAAAATTTAGCAATTTAGCAGTAGAATCCGTTTTTATAACATGGCAACACTATTATCTCCTTGTCTATGCTACATCTGCTACTCGTCGGCTATATTTGTAGTTATGCGTGTATAGAGTATATAATAGCGTAGGTCTAATATATATATATAAAACAACTATAAAGAAATTTATGTTGTCTTTTACTTTTTATTCTTCTTTGAAGATTTTTTTATGAATAAATGATCTCGGGAACAAAACCAATTAGCTAGAACAAAAGAGAAAAAATCTTTTATTATCTTTTATTTATTTATTTCACACATTTAAACAGAAACTAAAAGAAAATATTGTAACAAGAGTTCCTAGAATGTAAATATATGTATAATAATAAAATGTAGGATGGCGATTATATGGCGACATACGAGTGCAAAGTGTATCGTGTCGCCTGTACGGCGACATACGAATGCAAAGGTTAATATGCATTATGATTGGTTATTTCGAACGTGTCGACAATTCAAGGCGAGCGGAATATTAAGGCCAGTAACGACAGTAACGACAGTAATTTGTGGCATGGACAGAATTTAAGCCGGTTTTAGAAATTTTATATTTCTTAACATATTGGGTCTGCATTCCAACTGTTAACAACGAACGGCGCTGTCATAAATTATACATTCTCAGGATGAACAGGGTTGATGGTTCATGAAAGAAAGAATGTGGAAATGGGAAAAGTGAGAATTGCACTTTCCATCAAAATTTTCTTCCGCCGCACACGGTTTTTGGTATCCCCTTCCCAGACAGTTTTCTTACAAAGGAAAATACCCAAATCTTCACTAGAGAGGATTTTGAGGCAGGTAGACACAGACCTTCATCGAGAAGCGAGCTGAAATCGGTGCAGGTTTTTCCGATTTCAGGGACTCCTGAACAAGATCAAACACACCTCGATGTAGCGGATGATTCACATAAGGCAGGCGGTACCTCTTCGACAAAGTTGAGGACTTGTATCAAATGATTCACTCGCTTCTCGTGAGGCTCCCTGGAGATCTGTGAACGAAGCGTATGCTTTCGAACACAGGTCGCGAAAGAGTGAATGGTCGAGAGAAAGAAGAGGTACAAACAACCAAACATGAAGGACAGCCAGAAGAAAACACAACTTACTGGTGCAGAAGGTTTCGGAACTTCCAGGCCTGGTGCGACGGGGATGTTCGAGCGTTATCGGGCGTCCGCGAGGAGACTGTGCGAAGGGTGGACCCCAGGCCCCACGTACAGACAAGTACTGGGATGAACCAAAACATAAACATGGAAATACAAAGCAAAGGGAAGAAGGCTACTGATTCAGGTGGTATCAGAGCTCCCAGGCCCGGTACGGAGGAGATGGTCAAGCGAGCCTCCTCCGGATCGTCATGGATCTACCGTGATGAGGAACTGGCTGCCAGAAGAGGAAAAAAAATCTAAGGAAGAGCTGACGAAGATGGTAGTCAGCGACGAAGAGTTTGGAGTGTATCACACGTTCCCACTTCGAGGCCAGAAACGGATAAAGAAAGGGAGAAGAGAGGACTACATTAAAAACTACACTAAGAACAGGGTTAGAAAGGATGAAGAGGATGAGGACTTCATCACTGACCAAACGAAGGAGGCGCCTCCTCCATCCAGAAAGTCAATGCGCCTCCCAACAGACGCAGAGCGAGCTGCCGAGGTTAAACACTTGCCAAGTGCAAACCTCGCATCCGCCATACTCGAAAGCTTGAAGTGGAGAAGGTGGAGGCCACCTCAAAAAATATAAAAGGTACGTATAAGAGATACCTCCAGGACTCGGTTGGGAACACGCGGGCAAACGTTGCAGAGCTAGTGAAGCGGACCGCCTCAGCCGGGAATGAGGCGGCTCTGGAGGAAAAACTCCTAGCTCTGAGGACTCGTAACCTCGAGTTAGAAGAGTGAGACAGCCCAGACAAAGCAGACATTCTCGCTTGCGACAAGAATAAAGTAGAATAGCCCGGCCAATGAAGATGGCAGACATTCGAGTCAGTGGATTAGATGACTCTGTCACTCCTAGCGTCGACGGTCGCCACCGCGGGTGGTTGCAACGTAGCTGACGTTAAGACAGGTGAGATTTGCCATCGCTCTCCGATGAGCTCCGAGAACCATCTGACTGAAATGTCAACAAAAGATCGTCGAAGCAGGCAGAATCGGCGCATCGGACAAAATATCGTCAATAAATTTATTTCAAAATACCTAAGTGGTGTAGCATTTGTATCCATGTTTATATTTACTCTAGGGGTTGCGGTAAAAGGCTGGTGGTAAAAAGCTGGTGGAACACCCGACAACTTGCAAGAGTATCATTATCATCTTCATCCAAGTCTTCATCGTTCTTACTAAAATTCTCCTTAGAACTACTGTTTTCACTTCCTAAATTTACAAAACTGTTGCTCGATTCACAATCACTGTAATCATTATTGGGAGTTTGCAATAAAGGTTCATCATCAGTCTTATTTCCAGAAGATAATGCACGTTTCGACATATCGCAGATTTAGAGTAACAATTCACTGGGTCAAGGGTAATCTAAGCGAGTCAATTGCTGTTATTCAACTGAATATAAATTATATATTATAAAGATAAAAGTAACATAATGTAATATAATATTTCTTGATCTCTAAAGAGGAAAAAATGATATATGTATATGAAATACTTTTAATGTTTCAAAATAAAATAAAATAGATATGATAAATGAAATTACATATTATACTTATTTTCAATGTTACAAAATAAAATAAAATAGATTCAACGTAGAAATAGCAGTTTCTCATTCTACGTTCTCCCTTTTTTAATTTTGCTTTAATAAAATCTTTTGGCATATTCTTTCTATTCGAATGTACTGTCCCAACTGCATTAGTTTTACTATTAACTAAAGTTCTAAACAGTTTTGGTGGAGAGTACCAATTGTTTAATCGTAAGTATAAAGTACATCATTTGTGTAACATTGACAGTGATAGTTCTTTGACAATAATTTCAGATGCACTGTCATTTATTTATTTATGTTCTATAATTATCTATAAATTTATTTTATCACTACTTTTATTTATTTATGTTCTATAATTATCTATAAATTTATTTTATCACTACCTGTATATAGTATAGTAAAGTCATAGTAATAACCTGATTCTGAATCCGATATCGAATCTCGTCCTTCGATGGATTAAATTGTTTGTAAGATAAGCGTCCCTTATATTAGCGATTGATAGCAATGTCCTCTTCTATTACATATACTTCTTTAAATTTTTGATTTAAAAAATTTATCACAGGTTTTATTTTGCGTAATTTATCTGTAAAATGCAAACATCTAGTTATTTGCAGAAATCGTTGCAATGGCATCGTTTTTCTAAATATTAGCATTTCAGTCCTCTTAGACCAATTTATTTGAATTGTTGATTTCTTAACTCGAACCATTATTATATATAATGCAAAATACATTTTTATTTTTACAATCTACAGGAAACCAAGTTTCGTCAATTGTTATCTTTTATTTTTATTGTTTATTATTTGTTGTTAATTAACTTTCCAGAATATATTATCAAATATTATATTGAAAATGTCTAATTCTTTTTTATTCTCATCTAACTGATATAAAGTTGCTACTTTTACAGGAGTCTCTGTGTAATTTCAGATTTTTGATTTATTACTTTTTTCTTTGCTTTGATAGTTGATGATTAACGTCTTCATCGTCGATATCAATTTCAATAACCAGTCACTAACAACATTTTCGTACAAGAAATAAAATATCTCTACTGTCACTATCACTATTAAATATTATTAAATTATCTATTGAATCACTATTAAATTATCATAAAAATATTTATTAAATCATTATTTTCAATGTTAGCACAACTTTCACTATCCTCCTCACAAAAATATTGCTAAATATCCTCTTGAAAGATATTTTTAGGGATATTTTTCTAATATATTTAAGAAGATAAATTAGAACATGCGAATACGGCTAAAGATACGTAACTGAGACAGAAAATCGGTGAAAATTAACCACGACCTGTGTTATTTATGTTGAGTCCTGTCTACAAATAAGTCTAGCCTGTTGTTAAATTTATATGTAGTAAATTAAACTTATATAGTACAGTCAAACCGGTTTTTGTGCGGTAGATAGGGCACAAAAAAGATATTAAGAAACTTCATAAATAACTATAACAAATAGTTTTTTACATATTAAAGAAAATTTTCTTAAGCGGTGGAGGGACCACACAAAAAAAAAATTCACTTAGAAAATATGTCAAAGATTTACGAAATAGCGAGAAAGTGCTTTCCAAACAAAATAAATAATTAAATTACACATTTAAAAAAAATTTAGTTTCTCATTTTAAACATGGGTAAATTTTCACACAATTAAACACTACTCGTTGTAATCCAAAACGCGCATCTTCTTGTGATGAACTCTTTCAAAATCGCTTTCATATTAAAATCACTTGAA